CATTTTTCATGATCTAAAGTATAAACCTAAGAGAACTAAATTGATTTAACGTTTCTTCTCTCTTTTTAAAGGAGTGGATGGATGTTAATTCAACATTATCTACTTTAATTACAAATAATGTGTCCATTTACGTGTATAAAATAATTGAACAAATGGAAGTAGAACTAACAGATATTACCAATTTGATGATATTGACCCGAGCTTTCAATTTGTTCATTTCATTTCATCCTAGACAACGTATACTCAAACGACAAAAATCTATAAACCGACAGTTTACTTCTGACTTCAAACTAGTATGATCCGACTGTATATTACATTCAACCACTTCACAGTACTCACCTTACCTGTTCTCCTACCTTTGTGACTGTGTGTCTCTTTTACATCTGTGAATCACTCTTCTGTTCCCTGACTTTAATCTTATTTATTTCAAAAATAATATTCATATAAACATTTTCAATTTGCACTTATTCTTTTGCAATCCGAAAGTTTTAATTTCTGAAGCCTTATAAGAAAACCAATATCCTAAACCCAACCAATTGGAATCGTTTAGTGGTAAATTCCTTCTTTTTAATGATTTTGAATCCACTGCACACTTCATTAGTAATTAAAACTGTTAATATTGGAAAGAATAGAATCCAACAACTTCTATTCAAGTCACTATTATTAAAAGCAAAAGTTGTATTTAATCTTTAAAACTAGAAATAAATGAGTGGATAAAAATGAGATGGTTCACGTAGAAGAATTTCTAAAAATCAAACTACGCTAACACTACATTGTCGGTAGGTTTTATTAATTATGTAATAGTATTGTCTGAGTTAAGTAAACTCTGTAAAATATAGAACCGTCAAATGAGAATAGGACATAATTAAAAATCATCTTATAAGTAACAGATATGCATCTTTCTTTTCTTATTTTAACGCAAAAAAACCAACTCAGTATTATTCCAACCTTACGAAGCTACAAATTATGTAAATATTGGCAGGTTTAGTTCATCTTATGTGAAATTGAATCGACTTTTTGGTTCCCCACTACCAGCTCTTGGCTGTTGAAGACACAAATAATTGGTGGATTGTCAAATCAGAGTTAAGGTAACTTCAAAGCAAAAGCTTCAAATTTGAGCTTTGGAACACTACTAAAAGAACGATAATTTTTGTGAAAAAATTGATTTTCGATTAGGCAATATCACTTACGATATCAATCCGTAAATCACATTTCATGACTTTTCTAAAAAATTAAACTTAATTATAGAAAATTCTCATTTTTTCTATTATTAACTCTGTAGCAAAATGCTAATTTTCTAATTTCGCTTGTATTTACACCATTTTGAAAGCTTAATTTATAGAAAAATAACTTTTAAATGAGTATGCCAATTAAAAATAAGAACATAAAATTGAACATGTAGTTTCATTATTTTGGCATTCATTTTATTTAAATCTGTTGATCTCTGCATGTAAGGTATTTAAAATAGCTCCGCTTCATTCTCCTTGCAACAAAATTAAATTAAGCCTTTAGTAAACTCTATTCCAATAATCCGATTGGCCAGTTATGCTGGAACCTCATGGATGAAGAATAACTCCCATAGCTTAAAGTTTTCAATATATATGTGTGAACTAACCATTATGTAAGTATTTTGAAACCAACTACAAAAAAAACATAACCACAGATTTGATTCGATACCCCGATTCGAAATTTACACATTTATCACTCAATGAACTTTGCGGTTATCCAACTTTCCGAAGTGAAACCTGCATACTTCTTTCCTTGCTACTGATTAATATGCAACCTATGAAATTTTGTCGGGGCTTTGAAAGAAAGGACCTATTTGATTAGGCTTATTAATGCCTCAACCATTATCCGCTCTCTGGTTCATGTTATCGTTCAAAGCCCTAGTTAATAAATACTTTGTTACATTTTATTGTGGTTCAAAAAATGCGATTTCTAAGTTTTTATATTAGTGGGTATGGGGTGCGCGACAGACTTGCCTTCACGTGGTGCTCCCTGAGCAACGTATACTCATACGGCAAAAAATCTATTAATCGGCAGTTGACTTCTGACTTCAAACTACCGTCATCTCACTGAATGTCATATTCAACTAATTTCAGAGTACTCACCCCACCTTTTTTTCTACCTTTGTCTCTATCTGTCTCTTTTACGTCTGTAAATCATTGTTCTGTCCCCCTTTCAATTTTTTTGCCTATTTGATGTTTCTCTTTCTTTCTGTGAAGCCTGAGGTCAACTAAAGAGCTGATGATACCTATCATAACGCCTGCCATTTAAAATAAATAACTTAGTAGAACAGCTAAACAAACGTAAGTAGGAAGAAATATCCGTTGTCGAATTTTTAAAAGAAATTGTGTCTGGTTATCATTCGAATGAATTACACTTTCACCATATTGTGGTGTCCGTCTTAAGTTTATCAGATTTTCCCACCCAGAGTCGTCGCATTCTACCATCTACTCAACTGTCACTTTATTATTTACAACTCTCGTTTTATGATAAACTGATAAAGCAAATTATAACCCCCCTGTTTTGCTAAACACGGTAGTGTTATCACAAAAACCGTTGATATTAAGGGGCTTTCACATTTTGGTAGGTAAAATAAAAACTCCTTGAAAACTGGTAGGCTAATATATTTCCATTAGATTTAAATGAATTTACCTTTAATCTTTAGAATTTTCCATCTTATCTAGGTGACTGCATATATTGGTAGTGATGCATAGCTAATTTTTCTTTGCATTTCTTGAATTTAATTTTAATTTTGGTAAATAGATGACATCTAATTGAAGTAAGTCTCAGCAAATGGTAAAATGACAGTGAGTGGAAATCCATCGAAACCAGCGTCAAGATCCCCAAAGACTCCACTTCATTGGATTTTTTACTAGAATACTATTCACGAACTGGGCTGTTCGTTTTCCAAAAGTAGCAATTAGAGAATCAACCCTTGGATTTCTGAAAATGCTTGCATACAATGCAGAGTAATATGAACAGGTTCTTAGTCTCACCAACCTATTACCTTTTATTCCACTTCCAAAGTGTTAATATCGCGCCGACTAGAAAGCCAGGAATTGAGAGTTGAAAGCTGCGCCCCGTAAGTTGTACTTTGAATTAAAATTGAAATTCAATAAGAATTATATTTTCATTATTGTTGAAATTTTAAGGGAATTCAACCTTAACCCGGAAATGAATCTCTTTTACGGTATTAAAACGCTTTCAAAAAGTGCACATTTACAAGTTTTTGCGATATTATCATATTCGCTTCCAATTGAAACTAATATTCCATCGAAAATGCTTTATATTGTACACAATACATACAACCATAAATAGTCATAATCATGAGAAACTTTACTATCACTTGCGTTGGCTTAATAATACGCAGAGTTGAAAGCTAATATATATGTCTAAGACAAGTGGGAGCGCAAGCGAGCCTTGATTGACAGTAAGAAGGCAGGAAGATAAAGGAGAACATGGGATAATAATTTGAGGGGTTACAAGATAATGTTATAGGGCATGATCCCGACGATAGGGACCATATTGGGGAGTCAGTTGCCTGGGTAGGCCAAAACGGGTATCTATTGGAGGTGGGAGATTTCGATAGGGATCTGGTCGTTGACCCATTGCAAAGAAGTGACGGGTGTTTGGCGAACCCGTTGAAGCTAATCGAGGCTGAAAGGGCGGATCTACTGCTGATTTTGCTATTGGAGTCATCAGATCTGGTGGCTTGAGGGGTGGCTTCTCATTAGGGAATATTAGAGGCTTTGATGGCGGGGAGGCCATATTATCCAAATCCTTCAAGTTTCCTACTATGAGAATGAAATTCCATTAATTATTATTGAATAAGCCGAGTTTAGATAGATATGGTTTCATGACTAAAATGCACTACTTCTAACTTTTATGCATAAGAAATCTGCATGAACAAAAGTAATGTAATTC